TCCCCTGAGAAATCAGAAAGATTACCCGATACCGAATGGGGAATTACATACCAATAGTTTTTTGTAAATTATAGAAACACTTTTTAAATATATATTTATTTATTTTTTAATTAAAAATGTTCAGTCTGTTAAGGAAGAGGTCCTTGAACAACTTTTAGAATAAACAACCGGTGAATCTGTTTGAACATGGATATTCATTCTTCCAATATTTATTGGGTTGTCCGGAAAATAATGCAGGATTTTGGTATTAAACAAAAAAAAAGAAACTAGTTACTTTAAAGCAATGTTCTTTAATCAAAATAATTTCCNATTCATACAAATGAGTAATCCTGTAAACGTAAACAGAATATTTTATATAGATTTTTTTTAATGAAAACTTAAAATCCTGCATTATTTTCCGGACAACCCGATAGTTCACGAGTTTCGTTCGACCCCGCAAAGTTTGATCCGGTTCAATTGCAAATTGGCAATTTGCATTTGTAATTGAGAGTCGGCTGGAAATTGAGTGGAACTGTATTCTTCCGTTTTATTTCACTCTTAGAATACGAAAAGGGAAAAAGGTGCTTTGCTCATTAAGACTTGTCGTTCGAACACGAGAAATAACGTTCTAGCCTCCCATTACGTTGTCTATTCTGCCAAGGTGGATTTGCATGTTATTGCATCTGCTTCGGCCCTCGTTCTCTCAACGTCTTGGTATTACGTGATAAAGAATAAGCGGTTTATTTAAAAAAATAATTTTTTCTTCTTTACAATGAGTATTAAAAGTTAGGCTTACATTTCTCAACTGGGTAAACGTTCAGAAATTAACTCTGCCCAGACTGTCTCATCCAAGGGAACAAACCTTCAAACCTATTATGTTACATTACGATAATAAATTAACATTATTAAATTTATTTTGGGAGTTTAACCAGTATTATTATATTTTATAAAGATTCTTTTAAAAGAATTTCATAAGACCGCTGGAAAAGTTTAAACCTTGATCGGCTTTTGGGAGGTTTTCTCAGTTTGATTGTCTGTGCTCATCACCGGTTCTCGCTTTTTAGGTCGGTTTGCGAGTTGGGCAGTAGCAGCCAAGTTGCTTGAGGAAATGAAAATTATTTATAACCATCAAAGATTTTTTAGTAGTTGGTACGCTGTAGTTGACACTTCGAAATTAATATTTGACAAGTGCAAATTAGTACTTGGTCTTTGACACTTCGCAAATACTCTTTATCAACCACAACTTCATTAGTTGGTAGTTGGAAGTAAATAACTACTATTCGTTGACAAAAACTTCAGAAGTTAGTATTTGCAAATGCATTGCCCATCAAAAAAACCGACCACGTGGTTTTTGGCAAAAAAAAAGGCCAACTTTGGAAATGCATATTTTCTGCATGCACAAACCTGCGCAAAGTCTCATTTCTTAGAAAATTATATTACATATTAAACTAAATTACGCTGAACAATGTGACTATTTTAGACGTTTTCCTAGGTTCAGTCATTCATCAGAAAATTCATATATTCGGGAACATGTTATCCCGGTTCTATTATACATGAACCTATTGTTTCAATACGTTATTCGAGGCAAAACTGCCACTACACCTATGAAATGTGAAGGAAAAGTTCAATTTCCGTGATGAGGGAAACAAGTGGATATCGGCAGTAGAAGAATTCCGCATCCCAAAAGGTCAAAGTAAGAATTGCCGCTTCCCTGTTCAACTGTTTGACAAATTCCTCGGAACAAAAGTTGTAGAGGGTAAAATTTGCGAAAAATGATGGTTCGAAATGTATGCATTCTTGAAAATCGGGAGAGAGAGTGATCGGTTTTTTCCAGGAGATCGTTAAAAAAACAGAATTTGCAAAAAAATCGCGAATAACTCCAAAACGGTTCAGAAATCGGGGAAAATGTCACGAAATGAAAGCTTATTAAAAAATTTATCGATCGCTATATGTCGCCACTCCAGGATGATTTCCTGGCTCCACAGCATAATTGGAAGTTTTCCTAAAAAGTGCAAAAATTAACATGTTTCCTAATTTTTTAATTTACTGATGAATGACCGAAGCTTGGAAAACATTTTGAAAAACCATCTTTTTCAGCGTAACATCTTCTAAAAAATGAGATCTGCGACTTAAAAGGCTGAGAAAATATGCGTTTCCGAAGTTGGCCATTTTTTCGTGCAAAAATCAGCGGTCGGTTTTTTTTGATAGGCTGTGCACGTACCATTTATCAACAAAAAGTCAGTATTTTTATTCGAAAGTTCACAACTACTCTCTGTCACCTACATCTTCCTTAGTTGGTTAGTTCGCAACTTTGTCAACTAATACTTCAATGGTTGGTATTTGACAGTTCGCAAGTACTATTTGTCATCTACAACTTCTGTAGTTGGCATTGACTGTTCTAAAACTGTAGTTTGGAAGTAGTTGAAACATTTTGAAGTTCATAGTTCACACACCACGGCCAATTTGCTTACTACAATAGCAGTAGTTGAAATGCTTCAATGTCAACTACATTATGTTGATGCTGCACTGCGTGGGCTTGTACTGTCTATACTTGCGGATTTTGATATCAGTTAAACGTTCGGCTTTCTTGCCATCTGCAGTGATGTACTGAAAGTATTAAAGCCTAAAGTTATCTTAACAATTCTAAAGATAAGTTGTTGGATACCTAAAATCGGTAAATGCATATAGTCGTCTATTACTCCTCACCAGGCTTTTATCTCATACTGTATTTATTTGCGTGAGTGATTACGTGTATATGGACGGGTCTGCGGGGTAATATAAAGTACCAACAAACCTGTCTCGTCATGTTTTGTGATTTTTTCCGTACGTGCTTAGATGTCTTCTTTCTACCAATTCAGGGTTGCCCTGTTGAAGCAGCTTAAAGAATAACTATATATATTAAAAATCTACTCTTACAACTATTAGTTGTTATTTGCCATCGCTGTTACTTTTTCTAATTACAGTTGTAGTTGTAGCTGAAGCGTCTGTTCATTATTGTAGGTTACAAATTGTCGTTTTGGTTGGATTGGAAAAAATTAGTTAATAGTTTACTAGTTTTCGTGGTCCGCTTGACCAATTAATATATTTCAATTAATTAAGGTTTTTAGTTGAGATAAAAAAGTCAGTGTCATGAGCGAGATTCGAACCCACGATCTTCGGCAAGATACGACGCTGCTCTACCACTTGAGCTATCGCGACCTCGATCCACTCGGACACTAACTTCCCATCTCAACCCCCACCGTTTGAATTGTCCCTCCTTTTTGCTATTTTTCAAATGTCGTGTAATCTATTTGATTTTCGGCGACAAATGAAATGGCCACTGAGAGCTTTAGTGAAGGTATACTTCATTTTAACTTATTAAAATCACTAGTTTTCGTGGTCCGCTTGACCAATTAATATATTTTAATTAATTAAGGTTTTTAGTCCCGAAGCCGAAGTTTGAGCCGAAGATCGTGGGCTCGAATCCCGCTCGTGACACTGACTTTTTATCTCAACTAAAAACCTTAATTAATTGAAAATAGTTAATAGTTTTGTAGATTGCTGTTGAATTACTTTCTGCATTTGGCCAACCTGATTAACACCCTCTACGACCATTATAAAATTCCTAACATGGTTAGGATTTTATTTCCGTTTTACAATCTTTTCGTTTTCAATTCTATCCTTTTGATCCGTCCTCTCGGTTTCTGACCAAAAAGGATTTTAGACCATCCGTCCGATCGGCATGGCGGGGCTGTAAATCTTACATCAAACGACGGCATTTCCCAGCTCCCTTTGAGCCATTCTACCTTTAAAATAACAAATCAATCACACTGTGTATTTTGCATAAACAAAGAGAGCCGCTTCGCGAAGAAAAAAAAACAGTAAATCTGAATCACCCCAGGAGTGTAGGGTTGTGATAAAGTTTCATCCGATCCGGCTTCGTCGGTTTTAATGCATACAGAACTTTAATTTATTAACTTTTTCCTATAGACACAAAAGAAAAAGATGACGAATTATACGATTAATATGGATATCGTTACAAATTAAATTTTTAGACAGAAGAAAACCGACTTTTTCATCACAAAACCGGCAATCGTCTAATATTAATTAATCACTATAAAAAAACAAAAGATTTGTTAAAATAATATATTTTTTTAAAGGAAATAAAACCATTTCGAAGTAGAGTATCGATCAAGGAACATTATTTTCCAGAGTTCATTACTCGAAGTGTATTATGACCTAGTTAAAGTTATGGGATTTACTGCTTGAGCTGTGTGTTCGCCTAATGGACTATGATTTATATAAATGTTAATCGTTAAAAAATATTGGAAGAGTACTTTAAAAAAAATGTTCGTTATAAAGTAACACTGTCTTTAATATTTGTACCTTCAGTTCTATATTTTAAAAATTGAAAAAAGAATCTTTCAGTTTATATTAACGCGTTCAAAAATATAAACCTAATCCTTACGTGATCCTACATCCTGACGTGGTTTATCATGTTTAAAAAAGACTTGTGTAAAATGTCAGTTTTACAAAATTCATCAAAAGGATTAATCAACTTTGTAAAGGGTGATAAAATGCCCATTGGTCGCTGTGTGGAACGTACAAAAAAAGACGGGGTCCATTCGCGGAATGGCGGAAACTTTTCTTTCTAAACTCCGGATCGATCACTCTATTCGTAAAGTTGCCTGCTACTTCGGACGAATGGGGTAAATGTCACACACGCACTTACGGGGGAGGGGTCAAAAAGTTGCACTAAGCCCCTCAGGGCCCACCGAGGGCCGACGACCACAATAAAGACATCAGGTCACGTGAGTAATACATCCGAAGGGGTAAAAACAAAATTTCACAGGGCATCTTAAAAGGGTCGGTGGAAAAAAATGAAACACACCGGTGGCTTATAATTGCCCTGGTGTCCAAAGGGAATTAAAATACCCACTTTTCTTAAATTCTCACAGTGACCCAAAAGTCCAATGGGCCAAAAAAATGTAACTATGAATATTTTAAATTAACTCGTTCTAATTTGCATTTTTCTTTTTCAGTTTATTCAATAGCGTAAGCTTATAACGGGTCATGAATATACGAAGGCCAACATCTATAGACAAGGCAAATCTGGTACGTTTACTTTAATTAAATCAGAAAAGTTAAATCATTATAACTTATCGTAAATGTCTTCTTAATAGAAAAATATTTGTATCATTCGATAATATGATATACATAATATTTATATTGTTAAATTTATATATAAATTACTGTTTTTCTATTATAAAACAAAGCAATTGAACTTCACTTAACATGCTTACTAAAATGTATACGCATATAAACTATCACATCAAAATTAGTCAGCGAATGCATCCAAACTCTCCAAAACATGGGAAAACATAACAACCTGATGATATCTTGGGTGCCAGGGCACACAAATTTTGTCTAACGAGAAAGCAGACAGACTGGCCAGAGGAGGATCCGCAAGATCATACATAGAACCTATACTTGAGATAATAAAAACAAATATAGAATCCTCCATCGCAGATTGGATCCAAACAAAATAAAAGGAGAAGTGGTTAACTCAAGCGGTGAAAATGAAACTTATGATCAAACAACCCTCACCAAGACTGGCAAAATCACTGCTGCAACTGGAGAGGGCGAAACTCAGAGGAGTGATAGGACTACTAACGGTCACTGGCATGTAAAAAACATCTACACAATATGGGCATATACATCTGCAGATTATGTAATGAGGAGGAGGAAACAGCCACCCATATCTTCATATTCGAATGCGAAGCAACAGCTCAATAGAGATTCAACCTAACATACGAAAAAAGCTTAGGGAATCAAATTGCAGCAGCGACGGTCAATACCTGATACTTCTAAGGAAAAGGATTGAATCTATTGCACTCAACTATGGAACTAGGAAGGTACATTAAGCCAGAAAGCTGCAGTGCCTGGGGAGCACAAATCCCGCTTCCTAGAATCCTTATCACCAACCAAACCATACCAGACTCATGTAGGAAGTTGGTGAGTGTGAGCGAGTGTTTCTGCATGCGTTCGTGAGTATATATTATTTAGCCACACAGAATTAATTCCCATGGGGTATCTACCACTTGACGTGGAAAGAATGAAAGAGAAAGCGAGAGGAAGAGAGAGAGAGAGAGAGAGAGAGAGAGAGAGAGAGAGAGACATGAAAGAGAGAGTAAGCAAATGAGTTGGAGAGAAAGGAGTGACATAGTGATTAAGTGAGAAAGAGAGAAATAGAGAATGATTACGAGAGAGAGAGAGAAAGAGTGAGAGTGTAAGAAGTAGAGATTTTACATAATCATTAAATATTGATATTTTTGTGAGAATGAGTGTGTGTGAGATAGCGTGTATGTGAAAGTGAGTTTTGTGAACTGAGTGAGTAAGAGAGGTAATATATAAGGTAATAAATAATAATTGTTAATTTGGCTCCCTACAGGGAGCGTGTATGCATGCCATCCAATCTGAAAATGGTACTTGAGCAGTGCAGCGAGTTTCTGGGTCCCCTGTTCTGCTTTTTAGAAGAAATTGGGGTTTTATATTGTATATAATATGTCTTATGTGTTGTGTGTCCATATGTTTTGTCTGAGTGCTTGTATTTATTAGCGTGAATGGCGAGGGGTGAGGGTGAAATATAACTTCATCATCGCCCCTCGAACGTTGAGAGCGTATGAGTGTGTGTTCGGGGTCGATGGCGGAATATTTATAAAAGTACTCCATCGACCCCAATCTAGATTAGTTTGAGTATAGGTCGGTGGAGGAATATCAAGTACTCCACCGACCAAACGTAACGAGTGTACTGTATGGATGTATTTATGTGTATGAATGTATTTATTTGTACGAATGTAGTATTTGAAAGGGTAAATAGAATGTTGACTTAGTTGGGGACTGAAATGACCTAGATGTCGGAAGCCCCAGTAAAAAAATAAAAAAATAACATTAAAAAGTGTGAGTGAATGTGATTGATTATGTTTTTTTACACAATTTATATTAACATACATGGTAAAATTAATTATCAATATATTGTGTGAACTGAAGTTGCAGAATCCTCCAAAATATAATTCTTAAGGTAACACATATAAAATTAAAAAGGATAAAACAGCAACCTGGAAATAAGAAAAAATAAAGAGCAATGGATATGTAGGGTTTTTTTTAGTTTGGACATTATGTGGGACGTTGGAATTGATTTCTTTTTTTACCTTTTAAGAAGAATGTGTAACAAAATATTTGTCACATCATATTGATAGGTACTTAAACGCCAATGGACTCTCTGTAACGCGTGTTCAAACACTTAATTTCACCGCCGTCTACAACTTATAATTCTCCATTAAGTCGCAAGTCATATTTTCAATGGCTAATCTCAATTTCTCTTAGTACATCCAAGTTGGATCGCTTTAATAAAGTTTCCTGACTACCTACTTAAATAAAGGGAGTAAAGTCTAATTTCAAAGGGGTGGGTTTTATCCCGGCCTTATAATATAATCTCGTCAGCAAGGCTAACAAATGAGATATTGCAGGTTGGATACCAATAAACAACATTTAAGGACACTTTTCTTTCAATAACCCCGTCAAGTTTAATTCTCAACTTCGTGTAGGGGAGTTGACTGCCTTAAAGATTAAAGTTCTTACTTGAATTTCGAGCCAGTATTTTCTTGCTTCTTGTATTTTCGAACAAAGACAACAATCCGCTGATATGTAAAACCTTATTGTTACAAGTTAAACATTTTCTGTTTTCTAATTCTGCCTGAAAGGTCGCCAAAGAGAATTGGTTTTCAGTATTTTTGTATGACGCTTGTCTACAACAAAAGTCCTGGGAAAAGGTCGTTCTTCTTCTTTATTTTGTATCACAATAAAAAGTAGGAACCAGCAAGTAGAGGAAATTTTGTTACCGTATGTATAATAATTTTTACATACAGGTAAATTTTATAATACAGGTAATATTTTAGAATTTATTTACCCTTTGGTACGAAGAAGAGAGGAAATAAATTCCCACCCAGGCAATTACTGTTTCTTACCAGAGAGAAAAAAGAAAAACTAGGGTAAAACATGTATGGAAAATGGTCTCTTTTATCACCCTTGAGATTCCTGAGCGTTCAATGTCTGCCAAAGAAAATTCTCAATTTTCCTACACCTAGAAGGAAAATCAAGAGTTTCACGTTATATGATTATTTTACTGATAAGGAGAACATATTTTTTAATCTAATTTTTTACGAAGAAATCAATAAAAAACATTATGATCTAACGTGATTCCAATGGGATTTTAGAATAGAAATAAAATCTCTAATATCATAATTGAAATATTATTAAAATATAATTCCATTTTTTACCATCATTTTCAACATCATCATATCTTATTTAGGTTAGACCAAGCCCAACCAGTAAAATTATCTAAATTAGCCACGCCCACTTGGTGATAGACTACACTACCTATCGTAAAAAACCTCGAATTTAGATATTGTCTGTTACCTTACGCTGCGTATAATTTGTTATTTTTTAATAATGTTAATCAACATTTCAATTTACATAGGAAGATTAGGTGTTTATACCAAGAAGTACCAAGAGGATATTGCGCCCGTTCATTAAGAAAAAATGTATTGAACAGTGACTGCAAATTATAAAACATTTTCTTTATCATAGCTTCATACACAGAATTCGTGCGTGCTTATTTTACGAATTTCAGCTCGTTATTAGGGCGGCCGAGTGCATCATTTTTAAATTTGCATGAACTTTCCTGGTTACCTGGTAATACCGTCCTGTCATGACCCGTTGTACAGATAGGGAAAGAGATAAGATAGATAGGTGTATAGATAGATAAAAAGAGAGAGAGAGAAAGGTAAATATAAAGAAAGAAGAAGAGAGACAGCGACCTATTTACCACCTAAAACGGAGAGAGAGAGAAAGAAACGAGAGCGTGAGTGAGAAAGAAGCGAGAGAGTGAGTGAGAAAGAAGCGAGAGAGTGAGAGAGATAGAGAAAGAGAGAGAGAAGCGAGAAAGTGAGAGGGATAGAGAGAGAGAGAGAAGCGAAGAGTGAGAGGGTTAGAGAAAGAGAGAGAGAGAGAAGCGAGAGAGTGAGAGAGAAAAAAGAGAGAGAAGCAAGGTTAGAGTATGTATTTACTAAATAAAATCAACTAAGTTTTAAAGTTGGTTTCCTGAACTTCTTTTGACGAGTTATAAGGGCATACACATGAAAACGAGAAAAATGTGAGCGTGACATTATAAATATTGTCTCACGAAGGGGGAAGAAAGTCCTTATCAGAAACGCCAGAACTGTTTACGCAATTATGGCTGTTTGCTCTGTTCAATGGGAATTTCTGCGGGTTTTACACTTGTAACTCTACTGATTAAGCCCCAGTTTACTGCAGTCCGTCAAGTCAACGGAAATACGGAATTACACCAAAACCACGATCGGAACGATTTCGAATCCCTTGCGGTTTTAGAGACTAAAAGGTCTCGGTATTGATTTGAACAGCCCGTATATTTTGCCCCAAAAGGAAACAAACAAAAAAGTCGAACGGTGCATTTACAAGTCATGCTATAAACTGATAGGTTGGAAAAATTTAAATTATAAAAAGCCTCGTTTTATATGTACAATATTTAATACGACAAATTAGACATTTTTGACTTTGACCATGCCAATTCCCTTTCTTTTCATATTCTCAAATAGACCAGTTCTATAGAGTGTGAATAGATTCAATTTCGATGGAAATCGCCCTTTGATTTGTCTCCATAATGAGAAAATTCCAAGGAACCACTCTTTGGAATGAGGAAATTGTCTGAGGCTTTACAAGTTCAACAGTCACGACTTATAAGTTTTCGGCAGTTAAAAGGGATTTCCTCGCGAAATTGGAACGAGAGCACGACAGCTCTTACAGCGAAATGAATTCACATCGGGTTTACAAATACAGGGTATCTCTTTTAGATGACCCAGCTGAATTTTCTTTAACCAATGTCGCTGTCAAAAATAAATACGTGTTAAATATTTATCAGTCTAGTTTCAAATTCACTAATTTCGTGGTCCGCTTGACCAATTAATATATTACAATTAATTAAGCTTTTAGTTAAGGTAGATCCTTGAAAAATGGCAAAAAGGAGGGAAAATTCA